AGATAGATAGATAGATAGATAGATAGATAGATAGAAAAGCAACTCTGACCTGCGTTTATGCTTGCTCACTCACAGCCAGTGCTCTGAAAAATTTGTGGCCTTCTTTTGAAGATTTTTTTTTTTTTACCTATCTTAGGTGAAACATTTATAGAAAAGGTTGAGAATGAGTCCTGCACACATTTGCTTTGTCATCTGTCACTGCTATTGAACATTTTTGGACTACATTCTTTATAGAGTACATAATGTATATGCTGCAGTAGTAATGATGAATGGATATGAAAACAGGAACCAAGGCATACTGATGGAAAAATGGTTGCAGGTTAGGAAAAGCTATCACAGGAAGGAAGAGAAAAAATTCTGGTGTACTGTACTGTCTGAGGAAGCCCTGACTGAGAACATATAGCAGTTTTGCTGCAGCTTATTTTACTGCATAGGAGCTGGATTTCACAAGGCTGAACTAATCAATTTTAATCCCTTTGACAATGAATAAGGTTCTTTATAGCAGTGGTTCGTAAAGCTGTGACTAAACCGCCGTCTTTTCTCCAACACTGTTATTTTGTAGCATGGAAATACACTATGTGTGAAAATGTTGTTTTTATATTTGCGAGGAGCTCTTCTAATGCTTTGGTTACCACAAAAGAAGTTGCAAATACTGTTTATATGCATTTATTTATGTATGAATACATGCATAAATGGAATAATCTATGCTTTTACTGTGGTAAACAGTAAAAGTCCGTAAAAATCAAGAAGAGATGAGTTTTTGCATATTTTTGCACTCTGTCTAAGCAAATATGAGTTCTGCTGGTCTTGCACGTCTGTTAGCCATCAGTAAGACCTGATTATAGACAAACATAAAGCCCAGATTAACCACCTCCCTATTAACAATTAGAATTATTCTCTGGTCTTTCACTGTATGTACAATAGAATTGGAAGAATCCACTCCCACAGCAGCGACAGGTTGCTTGACACGTAGACACAGATGAGCAGATTTCCCGGGATATGCTGAGAGGGGGTTGATGTCAATGCCCCTTAGACAGAAGAGAGCGACTCCCCTGGTAAAACAGGCAGATACTGTTTCCCTACTCAGCAGGTAGATGACAGAGAGTGCTTTTACATTAACAGAGGATCTGCAGAGAAGGAGAGAGGCTGATCTAATTATTATGCAGAGTTCACATTTTGGAAAGAAGTGAAATGGCAAGGTAAAAAGGGCCAGAAAAGAATTACTTTATATATTAAAGAAAGAGAATTAATTATAAAATGGCAACAACAACTGAAAATGTTTAAAGCTACAGTGCTGTTGAGTCATTTTTCTTCTGTTTTTGTTTACTTTGTAATATTAAAGTTTTAGGCTTATCAAAAAAACCAAACTAATCTAAACCTAACCATACGTTGGTTTATAATTAACTGGTTTGGCAAAATCACAGCTTTCTATTGAAGGTGTCCAGGATTTTTTAACTCCAAAGAAGTTTATTAAAAAACGAATAAATAAACTTATGGACATTCATTTATTCTGCCCTTCATCCAAAGAGTGTTCTCAATTCAGAGCAAGCAAGGAAGACCTTCCAAGCTTTAAAGCTGTTTCAGAAGCACTGATCTCCAGATGCTAGATTGCCTCAACAGAAAGGTTTAAATTGGTTTGAAACTAAAAAGGCATGATGCTTATGCTATGTTTGAGGAGTCCAATCCTCCAGTGACTTCTGATCTGCAATAGGACAATTCCTAGATAGCTTTAAGGCTTAAACTTTCTCCATCATTAACTTTAAATAAAGAATGCCCTTCAATTGAAGACAACAAAAACAGATATCTACCTGTTTTGCATTATAAACCTTTTGATTTCTTTTTATAAATAGGTCAAACTCAGGATTAGTACTGTAAGTACCTGAACTAAAAAATCAAGAAATTACCTAAAAAAGGTACTTGACATACGAAGCAGCTTAAATGTAGAACTCAAAAAGCCTCCATCAACACCAAACAAAGTTATAGACATCATTCCCTTTAGGGTACACAGTCAATTGTAATCCCCACAGACACCACTGAGCAAAGGAGAGGGAAAATGTGTGGCATAATGCTGAACCACTGCTAGGCTGCTTACAAAATTACTTTACAGGGACATGGACAAGTAATCAGTGTAGCAAAAAAAAAAAAAAAAAAAACCCAGAGCAACATTTAAATCATCGCAGCCCTTCTTTTTTGCCTGAGTAAAGGTCAGTGTTCATGATTTAACAAGAAAGAAACTTGAAAAATGATACCTATGAGAGAATTTGAAGGCCAAAGACACAAAGCACCAAAAGGCACGACCAGGCTCATCTAACATTTACATTTTATTCTGCTCTCTGCAAAACAAATCTTTGAAGAATATCCCGCTTTCCATGTTTCTCATAAAACTAAAGCTTGCTTGAGAATGCGGCAGAGCAATGATCCAAAATACAAGAAAGTTAATTTCTGAATCAATTAAAATTGGATTGATCAACCTATGGGAAGGGGATCATTAAGAAATCTGATTGAGATGGTTTGTCATAAACTCCTATGTGGCTGATTCAAACAATCTGGTGAAGAAGAGTGGACATAAATTCCTCCATAGTGATGTGACAGATGGGTTGGCAATTCATGCAAACACTTCGGCATATTTATTGGCCTAAATGTTGCTCTAAAGGTCTTAAGAGCGCCATTAGTTTATTCCCTTAACCATTGTTTGAAAATTTTATTTTGGATTTGGTTATTTTGGACTGATAGTAACATTTTTCGGATCTGAAGCAATTTAATGTGACAAAAACATTTATAAAAAAAAAAAACCTTAAGAATAATATAAGGTGACAAAGTGCATTTTTATGGCACTGTAAAATATGTTATATAACTACCTGATATTTTAAATATTTTAGCTGCAAGATGTTTGTAGTTTTCTAAGGTAAAACTAATAGATTCTGTTTCAAAAAGGTAATTCCTGTTTGCAATAAGTTTGGTACCAATCTGATTAAGCAGTTGGGATCATGATGAAATGTTCGCCAACACTTTTCTTTTCAAAGAGCATCAGTAATAAAGCAGGTGGAATCAAGAAAATTGACTGGAAAGATATGAAACTAATTAAAACAAGTTGTAGTTAAACTGCTTCTTGGTCTGCAGATGTTCTGTAAAAAGTGAAAACATGAAAGAAGAAGGATTAGACATAAAAGAGACTTTTTATTCACATAATAAAATAACTTTGAGCTGAATTTCTGGCTCTGAAAATCCCAATTTTGAGTTGTTGTTGTTTTGTTTTTTTCATTATTTAAAGCAGCTGCGCTAGTAAATAATTCAGGGATAATATGTGTCTTTCTGTCTTTTTAGATATCATATAATTGAGAAACATCAATTAAACTGTAAATGTGGGAGTATTTATAGCTTACATTTGTGGATGATATGAATCTCGTAGGACAATATAGAAAAGAAAAACTTTCTTTTAAAATGGTTTGATGACAGTTTATATGTACATACTGTTGTAGAGGTTGCCTCTACTAAAGCTTTTTTCTTTCTCATGCCCTGATATGGAATTATTAACAGCTCCAAAGGGATCTAGGCAGGAAAGTTCAACCAGGACTGACCCCTTTAGTGTTCAATGGTCTTTCTTCGGGTGCTTGAAGTTAACAATGTCTGTTGTTTATGAAATAAACTCATTTATTTAAGTTGAAGCTTCTAATGCTCGTGTGCATATAATTGATAGGTTTGCCTATAATAATTCTTCTTCTTGAAGGCATTTAACTTCTTTTTTTTTTTTTTTTATGCAACACTTGTTTTTTTTCTCCTCAGACCCCACATACAGTATTATTGTAGTGGATTATTTTGACCTTGTCATTGAACAAGCACATGACAGAGGGGTGGAGAAAGCTTTGTAAAGGGGCACGGCACTAAGTCTCCCACGGCCAATAAGAATGACTGACCCTCTCATTTAGCACTATAGTGTCCAGATCAACACGCTGTTTGATCTGGTCACTGAGAGAACTCCAGTTTTTTTTTTACTTTACTCACTGGAAATAGATTGAAGCTGGCGCTAAGGTGCCTCTGGCAACTTTTGCTCTGTCATAGTAGATACAGACCCACAGATTCCTTCTGGCCAATCTGTCAAACATATGCAGTGAATCTTCTTTTTTTTTTATCCATATCCAAATCTACTCAGTCATATTCAGTTATGTCTGCTTTGAATTAAAGAGCCTTGAGGGTTCTTCTGTGGAGCTGTTCTGTCCTTTTTCTAGAGCTCCTGCCAAGGTAAGATGCTCCACACAGACACTTTGCATAAGTTTCTTGAAAAAACTCTTAATTTACTTTTTCAACTGAAAATGTATGATTCATTATGAAGTGTTCAACTTTTTTTCTGTTGCTATGTAAATGTTTTGGCTAATTTGATTGAGCACATTTAAGGCATTTTACACATCTATGAATTTTTGATTTCTGAACTTTAATACTTCATATAAGACACATAAGCTTAGAGGAGGCCCAGAGCATGGCTGCAGGGAAGAATCTGTACTTCACTAAAATAATCATATTTCAGCATGGAACTCCTAGATTTTACTGAACGTTACTGGTGCTGATCTGTCAAAAATGTTGTTTAGTTAAAAAGTTTAAGACATAAGTCTTCACCTAGACAACAAGCATTTTGTAAAGCAGGAGTAGACTCAGTCAGAAGTCCAGTCTTTGGAGAAGCAGGGATGGTTTAAGACATAAAGGCTCAAATAACAGATGATCACAATAGTCACAATGCATTTGTTTAATGGTTTTAGTACAAACAGTTTTGTTGGACAAAAAAGTTTAAAAAAGGGGTTCCCATTAGGGTATTGGAAGTTGATTAAACTTTTACAGCCCAAATGTTAAGTAAACTTACCTAAACTATCGGTGACAATATTTAAGTGGTCTGTGTGTTGTGATGAGCTCTCTCACGCTGCCACTTTCACTGCTTTATTAAGTGCTTATTTTGTTCTTCTACCTGGCTAACATGAAGCTTGCACTATTTGAGACAGTTTTTAGCTTGAGGATGGATCTTTAGTGAGAAAAAAATAAAACACAGTTTAGTGGAAATAAAAAAAGTACATATTCCATGCAGACAGTTGATATGTTGAAGCCAAGCTGAAGATTGGTGGTGTTCCGTTCACAGAATGGAAACATTTAAACATTTTCTTTCTTATGATTTTGCAGATTTCAAAGAAAACTGACGGAGGTGAATCAAAACCTGAAACATCTACATCTTTTATTTAATAAAGGTAAGAATCAAAGTCAAAATCTGCTCTAAAATACAAATGGTTTGAAAGGTAATACAGAGTAGAGAGACCTTCAGTTCATTTAGTTTGTAGATTCCACAAAATATCATTGAACCCATTATCTTTTTTAAATGACTCTCTTTTTAAAAACCTAGCATGTATGAAAAATGTGTACAAAAATTTGTTACTACAAAGAAGGACAAGTGCTGCTAAGTCATTATTTATCCAATAATAAAGCACGCTATAGGAATAAACTCAAACATCTAATCACCTTTAACTTTTACCATGTTAATTTATTAAGACACTTTTACCAAAGGTTCAAATAATCCCGTATAAGAAGTATAAGGCCTCCTTAATGTTATTCATATAAAAAATTATGTTGCCAAATTACAGTGAACTAAAAACCTTTATTTTATTAAAAAAATGTAAAAGTCTATACATACAAAGATCTTTATTCATTGTGATTCAAACACAGCAAACCCCTAATTTATATAATTTGACACATTGTATACAAGTTGCATAGAGACTGCTGGTGTTAAATTACTCAGAAATTAAAAAATGAAACATCTAGACCTTATTCATCAATAAAGAATAATTTTTTGCATGTGTGACATTGTTATTTTCCTAGAGAAATGTACTAAATGCAGCCATAAGCAAAATGCATATTGCTGATCTTAAAGCTAAAGGGAACCTAATGAGACATAAAGTCAGACACATAATGTTAATGATCCAACCTTACATAAAGCTCCAGCTGACAGCTTTCAGTTTCTCTATTAAAACACAAAAAGGCAAACAAATCATTACATGCAAAGCCTAAAACAGGCGCCACCACTTAATGTTAAATAATGTTGGCTTCAAGCAATTTATATGCAAATCTAAAAACATTCACCCAAGTGTATACTACATGATTTTAAGATTTTATCCATAATGAATGACTAAGAGAGATACAATGAGTTTTTATTTTTATTTCCCACTTATGTATCTGTAGAACAGCACTAGAGGCACAATTACAGCCGCACAGCTGCAGCTAAAATCCCAGCTCAATAACAAAAGTTATTCTACACATTAAATATTCACCACTTGCTGCACAAGAACGGCTTATCCAATAAGTTTTCAGAGCACTAAACCAATTCATCAACCAAATCAAGTCCTGCTCGCCTGAAAAACGCTATATTATCACCCACTTTAGAGCTAAGCCCTGAGCTATGGAGCAGTGTGAATAGAACGTGTTTTCATGGTCTGATCAATGTACTCTTTGTACAGTCTGCCCCCCGTGTAAACAATACAGTAAGCTTTTACCACTCTGTAGATACACTGTTATTCATCTCCTCTAAAGTAAAACTGTGGGGAGATCAGTGGCTGGGAGCTCAGTAAACTCATGTAGAGAGCAATTCAAGCAAAGGAAAACCAGAAACTTTACGCTTAATCTTAAACTCTTTTATTGACCCGGACGAGTAAGTAATTGAAAAAGAAAATGTCCTAGATTTGTTTAACACAGGAACCACCAGCAGAGCAGGGATGCAAAAAGAACCTGCTTTAAGATAAAATACAACATTAATAGCCGTGTAGTAATTTAATTTAATTGCAACAAGAAAAGGGCCTTTGCAAATAACAAAAAAAAGATTCATGCCTTATCAGCGCACATCCCATATAAAAATGACTAAAAAGGCTTTACATGATAACACTTCACTGAAATAATGGGGAAATGTTCTTTTAAATTTAACATAATAATCAGTAACAAGTGTTTGGGGCTTTTTAAAGGAAGTCGATATACTGACTCCTACAATAGAAAGAGCCCATATTAGAGTTAGAAAAGTGAATAATTTCTCTTAGAGGTAAAAAGCTGACAGCTTGTCAGTCGGACCCTCAGTTTAAGCAATTTAATAAATATTAAACTGAGCTTTATCAAATCCAATCAACAGGATACTATGCTTTGTAGCAAATTTATTCATTTTATTTAAAGAAATGTGCTGCATTTTTTTCCCATTTTAACAAATGTCATGTTTTAGAATTATATAACCTGATCTTGTGAGCTATATTGCTATGAACTGGACCCCAAATCATGTTTTTCTGCAAATATGCTAATAAAATGTTTTAATCTTGGTAAAAATAACCTGCTTGACAAAGCATCAAATACAAAGCCAAACTTTATCTCATGTCATATACTGTATAAAACTGTTTCACTCCCAATAAGTGAAGTGGTGAAACCAATGCATGAAGCAGCACAAGGTTTTACAGTTAGATGCAATCAGCCGATGTACATTTATCTTCTCACTATCAGAAAGGATTAACCGTGAGGGGATTTGCACACATTCTCTTTTTTTCCAAAAACATTTACTTTAAACACAAATTTAAAAGAAACTCTAACTTCACTACTGTATTTTTTTCTCTTCCCTCAGCAGACTTTTGTATTTAAGGAAAAATGCCAGTTGCCATCGGGGGGCCTCAGGGCTACACACCACCTGAGGGTGGCTGGGGATGGCTGGTGGTGGTTGGGGCCTTTATCTCTATTGGCTTCTCCTATGCAACTGCCAAGTCTATCACCGTCTTCTTCAAGGAAATCGAAGTGATCTTCAATGCGAGCAGCAGCCAGGTGTCTTGGATCTCCTCCATCATGTTAGCGGTCACATACGGTGGAGGTGAGCTGCACCCCACATCACAGGCCGTTGATAACACTTGACATTTTGCCCATCAGGAAGATCAACTGAATCAATTCCTTGCTTTTAGCATGAGTGTAAAAGATTTACTCATGCTGTGTTCAGTTAAAAGTCAATCTATCTTTTTTTTCTTTACTTTTTGGAGAAATGCAGCCTTTTGGACAGATCTGTCATTTAGGGACAAAGGAGAATCTAATTCTCGCACTCATACAGCAGACCAAACTAATAAATATGTTATTCTGCGAGAAAGAAAAAAACCCCACTGCAGTTACAACATTGATGTGTTTTTGCAACACTATCTGTCTCTTGAGCAGTTGAATAGGCCTTGCTTTGTATAGCCATTGTTCTGTGTTGTGCTTTGAGAGTGGAAGACCACCAGGAAGTTTGGCTCTGCTGCTGCTGCTGATGAGATGAATAAGAAGGTGGATGATGTCACAACCTTCTGGACCATTGAGTGGTGATAAGAGTCTATTCATGTACTCAGAGTGGAGTTCAAAGGAAATTTCATTGTCCCACATGGTTCCCAAATCCAAACTCTATCATTATCTCTAATAATGTGTTGTACACTGTACACCTACAAAAAAAGAAGGATATTTTAGAACACTTGTCCCCAAAGTTGGGGCTTTCCTCCAAGGTGCTTACAGGAGGGATGTAGTACAAATCAACTGGATAAATCACCAGTTCTGAGAGTTAATTTACTGTTACATGGTTAAAATAAAGTTTGGTAGTTTTGTGATCTAAAGGAGATTGTAGTTTATTTTTGCAATATGAAAGACTGCAGTAGACCTCTCTTTCTTTAACCGTTGACAAGACCAGTCAGAGAGGGCAGTGAAAGGTTTGAACCGACATATTAGAGAAACATTAAAAATAATAGGATTTACTTCTGTTTTCAGATTAGTTTTGCATTCACAATAAAAAAGATATTCAGTTCACCTTTCTTGTATTTCCATAAACTTACACATTAAATCAGACAAAACATTTTAGATACAAGATTCTAAAATGTATTTCATTTGCTAAGCCACAAACAAAAATGTTTCTGTTACTTTCTTTAAATTCATAAGTTTAAATTAATTGGTATCTGATAGATTTACCTTTAAAAATGGTGAAACAAGCTGTTCATCAATTCTCAAGTTTTCACAATAAATTGATATAATTTTGCTCCAATAATCCTTACAGAAGTGGTTTAGCAGTACCAGGTTTGTAAGCTGCCTCTCTTCCACAAAGCTCACCATCTATTTCCACGAATATCTCCAGAACAGTGTAATTGTTGTCCTTAAGCTGATTAACCTTGGCTTTATGCTCAGAGCCCTTTGAGAGACATTTCTGATGAAGCTTTAAGTTCCTGACTAATGTTTTGAGATGTGGCATCAACTTTACCACATCCTGTTCTTTCCTTATAATATCATCTATTTTTGGAAGTGAACCAGTCCCTCTGCAGTAAAACACTAACAAGATGTGCCACAGTCACGCATCATGGGATACTGTTCTGAGCTCATAAGCTACTCTCATTCCTCCAAATGCAACAATAGATATTATGGCCAACAACTTCAAACTGTCATCAGGAAAGGAAAAAATATCCCAAAAAGATAAAGTATTTGTCCCTATGTAGATTTGCAAAATGTAATATTTGTTTTAATGATCATTTTTTTAGTCAAGGCTCTTGAGTAGCCTGTTAGCACACATTTTAAACCTAGTAACATTAATATCTGGGTGAATCCCTCATCTTTTACCCTTAAATAAAGAACCTAAAGCAGGTATCTGGAAAGTAGATTTAGCAGTCTTGAGAATGTATCCCCTTGACTTTTTATTTCAATGTATATATTTATTTTGTTTTCCAATGTATTATAGAAGAATGTTGTTTGTAAGAAGTTCTGCCTAAATTTATCCACAGGTTTTCTTCCATTTTAATAATTTGAGTGTTTTAGATGGACCTGTTAGAAGCTTATAATATAGGACCATCATCATTTTGGGTTTTAACCTAAATTGTAAATGTAGCCTTTAACAACCTTCTAATATGCAAAAGTCTTATTTTAAACAAACCATTTAATACTTCTCTAACAAATGTAACAGAATTCTTTTAGGCGTTTATTCTACGTAATTGATTTTGCAAATCCTAGTAAGAGACCTCAAGCATAAAAAGTTTAATCTGATTTAGACGTACAGTCTAAAAAATACGAAACACTGAAAACAAAATGAATTATGCCAAATGTGTATTATATACAACAAACAACTGAAACACTTCATTCATTGTAAGGCCTCATTACTGTTCAATGTAATCATGACGTTGAAATCCTTTAAGAAATCAATGCTTCTTAGTGTTTGGCATCTAGTTTCCCTTGCATGTGGGTGCAAAGCAACACGTAGGCAGTGGTAAGCGTGTACGGTGTTATTCTATAAGACTGTTTGATTTGCCTTTTTACGTCACAGAAAGATATCAACACATTTTACCTATAAAAATAAATAAATCCAAGCTTTTTTTATAGCTCCTCACATGTCTTTACCAGAGGTGTCAAGTAACACAGTACATATACTTTGTTACCTTACTTAAGAAGAAATTCTGTATATCTATACTTTACTAGAGTAATTATTTTGTAGACAACCTTTTACCTCTACTCTTTAGCAATTATCTCTACTTTCTACTCCTTACATTTTCAAAATAGACTCCTTAGTTTTGTTTCATTTAAACCTATTTTTGTTATGGCCTGTTGATTTAAAAAAATAAATAATAAAAACCATCAAATGAATTTGTTACATCCTGAAAATGTACTTCTTTGTGGTTGGACTCTGTGCTGCCCCAACTTGTTGTTGGCCACATAACAAAATAAATTGATATTCACAATGATCTAAAGTTAAATTTGACGCTGTTACCATTAGTTATAAAACTAAGAAAATGAAGTATAAGAAAGTTATCATCCAGAAAATGTTCCTTTCATAGGATAGCGCAGGTTTTAAACATCCATCTTTAAAAAAATCCCTGCACTACTTTAACTTTTTGACTTTAATTAGCTTTAAAAATTGTACTTTTACACTTTTACTTGAGTAAACATTTAAGCTGATACTCTGACTTCTACAAAAGTGTTTTTAAACAGTAGGATTTATACTTCTACTTGAGTAATATACAATAATATTTCTGACACCTCTCGTCTTTGCATGCCGTGGCACCTGTGCTGTGACAAATGACCCTCCTTGCAAAGTTAACCTTTTACTCCTACAGAACCGAGATGCTTTGAGTCCATTTGCCTATGGGTGGAATGGTCTCAGTCAAACAATTGTTACTAAGTTGTTCTGAGAGATGATCATCATCTGTTAATGAAGCACCTTTGCCCCAATAGACGTTGTCACAGTGTGACAATGTTCCTTTTAGACAATGTGAGTTTCAGCACTTTTTGATATACAGGAAAATATCTACAGTTGTTTAAAACCACAAAATTATAAACCAACCAAAATAAATGTGTAAGTCACAGTGATAGGATTCCAGATATACCAAGAATGAGTCATTTAATGTGGAGGAGAGGTGGCTCTATTTCAATCTCCTCACCAGGTGACAGAGCTCCAGGCTGTCTCTAAGGTTAAATCCAGCTGCTTGGATCTAACATATCATTGTGTTGGTCCTAATCTATATCTTATGGCCTCTCATAGGTGAGCTTTGGAACACACAGTAGATGGAGTAGGAAACCTGAGAAGTTTGCTTGTGAGTTCAATTTGTCCTTCAACATGACAGGCCAGAGCAAAGTCTGTAGTGCAACAGATGGGAGTCACAGTAAATATATCCACGTCTAAGTCCATCTTCCCTAGTTTATGATAAAGAAATAAAATGAAATTAAGAATTTTTGCTCAAGCCAGAAAACCATTCCTGACCAACAGACTGTAATTCACCTTTTGTTGGATGTAAATCATTTTTCGTGATGTCGCTAGAACTAAAAATATCTAGTATGGGCTTTATTACTCACAACATTTTTTATTTTGCAGAAGCATTTTCTCAATCTAAGTTTTGATAGCTCCATGTGATGTTACTCCAATCTGTCCATAATGACTTAGTCCATCCATTTTCTATACCAACTCAGTCATTGTTAAGGTGCAGGGGGCTATAGACTGTTTCAGTGGTCATGAGGTAAGAGGTTAATGGCTACATCATAGACATTCAAGTCTATCAGTCTATCAAATTAGGAGTGACAATGACGACCCAATCACATTTCCGGATGTAACATAAACATTTGCGTTGTATTATAAGTGAGAATAAGGTGAGAATTTTTTTTCTCTGCTGTGAGCAGATGTGAGCTTAGTCTGTTCAAGTATGTATAGTTATCTGGATATTTTCATCTAATCAACAGGAGAAGTTCAGTAACAGCATACTGTTACACACCTTTCTATTCTCTTCATTTTTGATTCATCACATTCATAATATTCTACACTGGTTCCTACCCAACCTTTATGCCCTGAGCAACCCTTTCTGAAAAGTGGAAGGAAGGAACTCATTGTTTGCATGGAGATGGCCTGCATTACAATTTAAAAACCCTTTGTCTCGCAACGTGCTGGTAAATGAGTTTGGACAACCTCTAAACAAAAACTGTCAGTTTCCATTTAGCTTCACTGGGGACTGCAGGGATTTGGCAGGAAGGCACGACTGTCTTCCATGTGGATCCTCGTACTCATTTAGGCTCATTGGTATAAGTGTTAGATGGAGATAGTGGTTTGCTATCCCAACTCTAGACGCATTCTAGTCATTTGTCTGCAAGTTATAGCAATGTTCATAGATTATTTTTTTTTTCTTTTGAATTTGGCATGCATTTTGATAAGCTATTCCACATATTTCTCATTAAGGCAGCCTTTCAGTGTGAGGTGCAAAAAATGCCAAAAGGGCAAAAAGTATTTCTTTTATCTTCCTTGTGCAGAGCAGTGATCACCCCCACCCCCTCACACTCAAGTCCAAGACACACAATCTTATTCCCACACTAACTTGTCTAAAGAGTTTAATATTTGAAATCCAAGAGAGTAAAAAATTCATAGATAATTTCATTTTGTATGATCCATGGTATTGTTTAAATTGTTCCAACGCGGTGTTTGTAGTTTTCTGACAGATCACATTACCAACGACATGAAAACACATCTTTTGCTGTGATGCACTCACAGCAACAGAGGAGGAAGCTGTTTAAATTTGCCAAAACACTAATGTGGCAATAGAGCCCCCTGGTGGAGGAATTTGGAACATACATAAGATCTGGGTTTCAAAACTGAATGTCTTTTATTAATAGTTTTGTGTCCTTTTTTAAATAATATTTTCAGGTCCTATCAGCAGCATCCTGGTGAACAAATTTGGGAGTCGTCCTGTTATGATGGTTGGAGGACTCCTGTCTGGAACTGGGTTTGTTGCTGCTTCGTTCTGCAACTCAATTGAAGCACTTTACTTTTGTGTTGGTGTAATGGGAGGTTGGTCTTTTATTTTTTTGCTTTTTGCTATATTTTCAATTTAAGTCAAGTAAAAAATCAGCTGTTCACATGCTTTTTATTTATTTATTTTTTTAGGTATGGGATTATCCTTTAACCTCAACCCAGCCCTCACTATGATAGGAAAATACTTCTTCAAGAGACGACCAATAGCAAACGGGATTGCCATGGCTGGCAGTCCTGTTTTTCTGTCTACGTTGGCTCCTCTTAACACCTGGTTCTATGATCAGTTTGGTTGGAGAGGAAGTTTTCTGATCCTGGGCGGCCTGCTTCTTAATTGCTGTGTAGCTGGTTCGCTTATGAGGCCAATAGGACCAAAACCCAAACCTGCAGAAAAGACAGCTGAGAGAAAGAGTGTAGTGCAGACCATTAACAGCTTCCTGGACTTTACTTTGTTTAAGCATCGGGGATTTTTACTCTACATCATGGGCAATGTTGTCATGTTGTTCGGCCTATTTACTCCACTGGTGTTTCTTTCTAATTATGCAAAAAGTAAAGAAATCCCTAAAGAGAAGGCAGCATTTCTTCTGTCTGTGTTGGCTTTTGTTGACATGGTTGCTCGGCCCTCGATGGGCATTGTGGCTAACACTAAGTGGATCAGGCCCAGGGTACAGTACTTTTTCGCTATTTCTGTCTTATATAACGGTGTGTGCCATGTTCTCGCTCCAATTTCTGTTGACTACAAAGGCTTTGTTATTTATTCCATCTTCTTTGGATTCGCCTTTGGGTGGCTGAGCGCAGTGTTGTTTGAGACCTTGATGGATCTGGTTGGAGCCCAGCGCTTTTCAAGTGCTGTGGGTTTGGTTACTATTATGGAATGTGCTCCTGTATTGTTAGGGCCTCCATTGCTTGGTAAGTATGCATTCTGCTAAGAATTTTTTTTTTCAACTATTTACAATTTCTGAAACAAAATAGTAAATTATGACTTGTTCTGTCTTTACAGGAAAGTTAAAAGACATCTACCATGATTACAAGTACACATACCAGGCCTGTGGGATTGTTCTCATCATCTCCAGTGTCTTCCTGTTTGTAGGCATGGGAATTAACTATCGACTGCTGGACAAGGAAAAAAGAGAGGAGGAGAGGAAGGTCAGGATGGGAGTTAGACAACCAAATCCTAGCAGCGATAACTCTGGCAAAGAGGTTGGAGAGGTTAGGAACAGAGAGGACTCTGTCTAGTGGTCTATTACATGCTTGCTTGCATTTAATAATGCAATTTAATGTTGTTCCAAGATGTGTTTATTCATGTGAAATATTAAACATCATGTATCTGGTTCATTATATTGTGTACTTGAACAGTACCAGTAAAAATACAGATCGATTTGCAAATCAACTTTTACATTTTTTGTCTATTATAAAAGCCCTTTAAGTTAGAATTTAAATTCAGGATAAAATGCTTCTTTGATGCGAAGAGACTTGTATTAATGTTTGTTGCTCCTTTAATTTTAGGTTATATATGAGTCTTTAATGTTTAGTTAGGGAGTCTTACTAACCTTTTTAACCTATGGAAGTACATTTGCATGCTGTATTTTATGATGTACCAGCACAAAAAAAGACCAATGTATTTCAAAAGAGTTTGGTATTTTTTGAATGAACACCGTCCATTTTTTAGATTTACAGGTAATTTTTGCACCTCTCTTACTTCATGCATCAAGCAAACATATTTGTGCAACTTTTATTTTCTCTTGTAAATGTGTTTTTTTTTCCATATCAGTTAATCATTAATCATTTTACATATGATCAAATCTTTAATCGCTGCTTTTTCTGCACCAACTGCAGTTCGCTGTATATATGAAAGTGATATTACATAGACGAATAAAGGAAACATGTAAAAAGGATGTCTTTCTTTGCTTTATTTCATAACTAACAGATATTAGCACATCATTCCCTGAAAGATGCAGCCAATCATATTTATGAGACAAAAATAATATGCGGTCCAATAAAGAGATGAAAATAGTACAAAATAATAGTTACTTAACTGTAATTCATTTTATTTTATTGAGCCATTATATAAAAGACTAACACATAAGATCAAATAATTGTAAGAAATGTAAATAAACACTTTTTTTTTTAAATTAAGAAACGGGTCTAGATTTGACTAGGAAAGTTTTGATCACTGTTATTCTCCTTAGACTTAAACAGTTACAAATCACGGTTATTCTCCTTAGATTTGGTATTAAATCAATAGCCTGTGAAAAACTGCAAATAAAAGTCCTCATGCTTCTATATCCACAGTTTCTTTTTGCCCATCAGAGGTGTAGGGTGAATGAGTGATTAGCAGGTACAGCTCCTCACACATGAGCTGTGGTTCTCCACCTCTCCTCCAGAGACACCCTTTTGCCCTCTTTGCTGTTTGTCTCTTGTCTGCTTAGCTAACTACAACCACTGCTCCCCTTGAACAGCCATGTCTTAGTAGTTTTCTTCTCCTATTTCCACGGCATTTCCAGTTTCGAAAGATGAAGATGGAATGACTTTTACCTGTAAGATGTTTTCAGCTTGCGGTCTCATTTCATAGCTTCTACACAACTGTATCCTTTGTTCCTTAATCTCCATGTAACTTGTTTACAACACTGGTCATCTCACGGCACTAATTTAATCCAATCATAAAGACAGATTGGTTAAAAGCTTTCTATTTAAGGAACACCACAGACTTCATTGAATTGGTGACTTGGGGAATTACCCTAACTCTCCTCAGCAGAACCAGGCTCAAGATGATGAGCCATTTACCTCGACTGATTGTGTTTTTTTGGAAGACGGGGCATACAGTAAGACACAAAAAAGCTACATGTGGTCTGGTGTAGCAACTATAGATTTAACTACCATGTAAAGATAAAAAATATGATAATAAATAAAGTTAGAACTTGAAATATAGATTACAAATTGATACTTGAGAATGATATAATGTAGAAAAAGGAAAGAGTATCTGTAGGCCTTAACAAAACAGTAGGACTTATACAAAGATTAGACATGCAGTTTATTTACTAATTCTGTGTCTTCTGAAAACAGTTGGTTTCACTACATGGATTTTGAAGTATCAGAGTTAAAAACTAATGCCGTATTTTTCACATATTTCAGCTTCTCCATCTATTCATCCTCTCTACTATGCCAGTGTCTATCAGTGTATATCAATGCAGCATTACAGAGGGACTGCTGCATTTTTCCATTAGTCATTTGGCGAGAGGCGTTGTGAATTCTGGTTTTTAAAAAGTTTTTCAATGAAAAAAATAAGACCATATCAAGCACATATTTTTATTTCTATCAATATGAAGAATTTACATTGACTTACATTCAATTTAGCTATGCCAATCCTTGACATTTACGGTAAAGCAAATAATTATCAGTTAACTCTAACCATTACCCTAAGCCAAAGTTAAGTCACATCATATCTCTAAATTGTCTCCCAAACCTTAATAAATGTGGTTCCACTACATTAGGGCCAGCCTTTGGTCCCCATAAGGCCTGCTGCTCCTTCGAAGGTTAGTGATATATACCAGTCTTAAATGGGTAATATAAACAATTAAGTTTTATCATGCATTCTTTTATGTCATTTTACTACATACAACACAGTAAAATACATAAACATGTATTATCATTATTGCAACTGTAACAAAATGTGAAAGAGTCCAGGTGATAATTTCACAAGGCGTGCTTTGTGAAAGGTACAGAGAGAAATAGCAAAAATTAAACTTTCCTTGTCATCTACAGAAACACTTAGACTTAGAAACAGGCACTTATGTTTATAAGAATTTCTTATTATTTATTATTAATATTAATAAATTAGCCTATATATTTTAAAAAGAAAAACAAATATTCCCTTATATGTGAATGTATTGGAGCAGTTTTCCTGTTGGTTGTTTGAATCGAAACTCTGGCAAACCGATTTGACATTTATTAGAAGCGCTGTCCTCCCCATTGTTCCATTTGTTGATCTCTAAAATAAGATTCTTCCTAGCCAAAACTGCATTCCTACTAGCCAGAAATGTACATATAGATATCCTAAATTACATTTTTGCCAACAAAAACTACATTTCAGGCTGCAAAAAATATAATTGTACTAGTAAGAATAAACTTTCAAATACCTAGAAATCTTTACGAATTTTAAATGGCCCTTTTGACATTCATGAGCTTTACTGAATACATATTTAGATGTCTAAAATGCCTTTCTTTCTAAAAATGAACATTTCGGATATCTAAAATAACACTCCTCCTATCTAAAATTTACATTTGAAATATCTGAAATGTTCATTTTGAGTAGGAAGAAATGCATTTGAGACACCTGGAATATATATTCAGTCAAGCTAATAAATGTCAAAATGGCTTGCCATACTTTTGCCAGCCGCGTTACCGTGCCTAACGTAGAATCCTGTCTCGCGGACGTAGAGCCAGTTAAAACCGGTAACAAGGTAAGAATAACTGTTCATTGTTAAAAATTATTATAATATATAATGTTGGCAAAACTAAAAAAAAAAAAAAAGGGAAAAAAAGTTCGACCCGCCCTGGTAACTATTAGGGATATTTTTTAAAAGAAAATGTAAGCTCTATATCCTCTTTTACTAAATTTAAAAATAACGCTAAATCAATATAAAGCTAAAACAAGCTAGCCGCTAATTCCTCGGCCGTTAAGTAGGAAAGGGGTTCCACTATTTGTTGCTTTTTTGCTCTAAATTGTATGAATTATGTGAAAATAATGATATTAATTATACGTTCCGTATTCCAAATACTTTTTATATGACATATTATATTTTCTTTGTTGTTTCTCTTAGTTCACGATGGACAAGGAGCGAAGTTTTAAGTTCAAGCTGTTGGTGCCTCCCAGGATAAGCCACAGCCAGACTCACTCTGTCAGACCTCAAGGCATAGTGCAGGGGCATGGTAATCCCATCAGCATGGTGAACCTCGTAAGCCCTTCAGTAAACCAGGTAATATATAATTCTCCTTGGTTATGTTGATTACAGCAGTTTAACACTGGGGTCTGTTTCACAAAGCAGGTTTAACAAACTCAGGTTCAAATTCACATCTCTAAATAGATCTAGCCTAAGGTAGGGAAATCTGAGTTTTTGGTTTCACAACGGCTGCTGTAAAATTAGTAAAGTCTTTTGAATCTTTTCAGAAACTGAATTTCAGAAAGTACAAAAAAAGAAACCAGTAAGAATTACGTTTTATATACCTAGAAATGTTTATACATTTTAAGTGACTTTTTTGACATTTATCAGCTTGACTGAATATGTATTTATGATTTCGTAAATACATTTTTTCACAGTCAAAATAATACAAATGCTACCAGTAACAATAGGGATATGGAGATCAGAAATAAATTGCTAGACATCTAGAATGTTTATTCTTAATGTAAAGAGAATCATTTTGTTTCAAATTCAATTTTTTTTTTTCAGATATGAAGAATACATGTTCATAACATGTTAATAAAACTAATACATATCAAAAAGCCCTGTAAAATGAATTTATTTTTGTATACCATATTTTCACGACCTTAAGGCGCACCGTACTAAAAGGTGCAGTCTCAGTTATGTGTCCCATTTCTGTATTTA